GCTGAGGTTTAGCCTTCTTCAGTGATCTTCCAATCAATATGACCCTTACTTCATGTTCAAAAAGTACAAGAGAAAAGAAGAAAAAAAACCCCAGCTTTCTGTTACATTTATACAGGATTTATTTAGTATCTTCAAAAACCAATCTGAAAAAATTTTCCACTCACTGGTTTTAGCTGAGCCACTGAGAAAACAAGAAAATCCTTCTGCAAAATTCTCAATAAGATGATATTATCTAAAGACCTGAAGCGTGAAACTTGGCTTACAATAGTTGACAAAAAGCACACAATGGAATAGCTGCAGAAACTAAATAAAAACATTTCAGAAGCTGAGTAACAATACTAATTTTACTGAAAAGGATCGAGTGAAAAATATTATCAGCTGTTTAACAATCCTTAAACTACCATATTCTTGATAAATAAAACCTTAGAATTACTGTCCAGTGAAGCGACTCTATTAAATTCCTCAAACTCTCAGAATATTAACCAGTTATACAACTTACTCCTTAGCCATACGCTATTTTATAACCCATCTTCAATGCCGCCATGCAGGCTTTCGTTTTATACTGATTATCATTAGTTTACTTTCAATAATTTACCTGCTACCATACAATGTAGCCCAAAATGGTGAAAGATTTCTTTGCATCAGACAGCACATGCAATCTAAGAAAACTCTAGTATTTGTGTAAAGACCAAATACATGTACTGAGTATGTGTTTTGGAAAAAATATACTTTGAGGAAAGGCTATTTTAATAACTTGTCTGGGAAAAAAAAGGACTCAAAAAACCCCTACAAGATTGTTCTATTTTTATATGAATCTTCTCGTGGATTACTATAATGTAGAAAAATAAATTTTATGGTAATGCACATTAACTTTTCTGGTATACATATTTATGACATTAAGAATGAAAACTGACAAGCTAAAAGTTCTCCATTGAGTCTTTTGTGAAATTTACATATATAAGTATATGTAGTTACAAATTATTAGAAAATAAGATTCTGCAGGCCTTCCAAATTTGGAAGGGACCACCTGCCTGATCAATGTGAACGGGGAAGGAGAGAACCTTCCTTCACAAGACACCTGCTGTACACTGCAAGGATATAAACCAAACTCTTACCCATGTTAACTTTGTGTAGTGTATTGATGAATATATTAGAAATCCCCTTCTGTGCCTAATCCATAAAAGATATAAATCACCACAGCGCCTTAACAAAGAGACTCTTGCCTATAACTTACGTTCTTAGTTCTAAAGGCTTTCTATTTAATTCTGCACATCAGCCAAGAGTCACTACACTTACTATTGACTAAAGGCTTCGCAACCTTACTTTTAAGGCAAATAAATTATTTCCTCTCTTGCAGGATTAAGTTAAATTAGAGAACATGCAAGGCTAATTTAGACAAAGCTAGGATAGAAGGTAGGTCGTAACGTAAAACTATCTTCATTCATTCTCTCAGTCACACTTCCAAAGTGACAGTGGTAAATGTAGTTAACTTCATCACTACTTCATAACCAGTTTTCCAGTTTTTAGATAAAACCATCCTCAGAGTTCACGAAAAAGTTCAACCTAGCTACGAGTAACTAAGAACAGAACAAACAAAGATTGTCGGGGAACATACAAAAAAAAGTGCACAAAGCTAAAAATTGGAAGAGAGAAACAAAGGAACTTTCAGATTTCAAAAAAGTACAGCAAGTTGAACAAGATCAAATTGGAGGAGATATGTAATGCAGATATTAGGCATAAGTTGAATTTTACTAAGTAGTCATTCTGAATACAGTGGTGAAAATTTCAAAATTTGAGACATTCAGAAAAAAGTTGCATTAACTGAAGCTCAAGTGAATTGAGAACTAGAGTTTCAGAAGAAAGTGTAACAAAAGATTGGCAAGAAAGGAACAGCAACATTCAGCATTGTTGAGAATGTCACGTTCAACTGCTAGAGGGTATCTATAGGAGTCTATTACATTCTTTTGTAGAACCCAAAGGTGAAATAACAGCTGTCCTCAATTCAAAAACATAAAACACACGCATCCACTCAGAACACAAGCAGACGCTACTGCATACTGTCCTGGGAGAAAGTGTGTATATGCGTGTATAGAAGGGAACGTTCAATCCAGGAACTGCCTGAAAAAGAAGCGTTGAGTTACCTGAAGGCATCTCTTTCAAACAAATGAATTTTTACCAAGAAACATAAATCCATCACCATTATTTTCTCATCAAATTATAACTTGCAAGAGAAGCCAAAAGATGTAGTAACACCAAGAAAAGGGAATGTTCATCCCTTGCCTTTAACTCCAGGCTTTTCCTGTCCTCCCCCACCAAAAACAAAAAGACAGGATTAAAAACAATATTACTACATTTTCACAAAAACTCTCTGAAATATTGCCAAGGATGCTGTGAAATAAATTGAAATGCAATTTCATACCTGCAATCATCTATTTGCACTAGAAATCGTACTATATCTTGATGACCTTTCAACACAAGGAGCTCCGTGTAAGGATTCTGTATTTGTTCTTCACCAATTGTCTGTACAGATGATTTCTAAAATTCATAAAGAATGACGACATTTATTTTGTACTAACATAATTATTTTCATCAGGTCTTTGTAATGTTTAACAATCTACATACAGACTCATGTGTGAAAGTATAGTTATATTTAAAGTTAAATTAAGTTTCTGAAATACCATTTTGCCTTAATGAAAATCATTACAAAAGATCACTTACTATTATTTCAAGTAAATAATACCTTCCTATAGCATGTATTTAAAATTATACTATAGCATTTTCTGTTTAAGAAAAACATTTTGCACTGCTTTAATCACAGATACACCAAGATGAAAACTCAGTTTAGTCATGAGCTGTCATGTGGAGCCAGCTTCATGACTCAATTCACCATACATTCAATTTTTCATTAAATTACACCTCTTCCGAAAGGTCTGTGAACCTCTCATATCTTTTATCTACCATTCAATTTAAAAATCCTATATAAAGATGATATATTTAAGATAAATAAGAATAAATGCTGGTTTGTTACATAATATATAAATCATCCGTTGGGACTCTATTCACAAAATACCAAAGCAAATCACTTAAAAAAACATAGAGAATGATCAATCATTTTCTAAAACAGCATCTGCAATTACCCCCAACTAGACTATTAATTAAAAGAACAATCAATCACTCAGAGCAAGCTGATCACTAGGCAGGGTCAATAAAATATTGCTTAGGACCACAGTTTTAAGGCACAATAGTTCTGCCAATCTCAATCACCAGTTTGTTTCAATAGAAGACATTTTTTTTGTATTTAACGTCTTTCACACTCTGGAACAACTTGCTATTAGACAAAAAAAAAAAAAAAAAAGGAAATTGCTGAGTAGTAACCCAGTGACAGCACTCTCCTCCTTCTAGATTTATTTTACATGACAGTCGACATCATCTTACTTCCAGGACTGCCTCTTCTTTGAGGACTTCAACAGAATCTACACTGTAAAACAGTAATTACTGAACACCATACAACATGCAGCATACATGACAGGTAATTCTATATGAAAGACAAATATATTACCCTCAGAAACTTAAACATTTTCTTGCAGAAATAATAAATTATTTTCTATTCCTTCCATATTGGTACTATGATACTATTCTTCAGAAGTTAAGAATGAGAAAGTTAATA